CACGAAATTGCTTTGGTAATTTTTTCAATCCTTAGCTCATATGACTTTAGGTATGGAAATAAACCAAAAAATCTAATGGATGTCAGCTATCCTTTGTCAGTGGACATCAATATTTTTCCATTCAATAGTTTATTATTGAAGAACTGAGGAGGTAAGATTATCAAAAAGTCAGAAAAGTTTAAAAATTACAGCACCCAAATACTACAATAAATGACCACTGCAAAACAGATCCTTAAATGCCTTTAAACAGTCAATGACATATTTCCCCGCTGAACATGTTTTTTATTCATACCAAGAGTTCTTGAAGATTACATTTTGATTTGTGCTATATCTGTTATTGCTTTTAAATTGTTTTCATTATTTTTACATAATTTTCTATATACATATTTGTGATCTGCAATGTGGATTGCATAGTAGTTGTACTACTATGAGAATTCGATTATCTATGTACACCATAAAATTTTTTTCAGATTTACACTACCGTTCAAAAGTATTTGAACACCTGCATATTTCCATTTAAAATCATATCCAACGAAAAAACTATTCAGTACATATACTAAGTGACATATAAATCCGAACACCCAGTTTAAATGGTTTTATTCTAATAAAATTTTGTATAAGTACTTAATGAAGCATAATAAGTAAATGATAAAAATTTCAAAATGATTGCACTGCTTTAAAGCCCTTTGACCTTTAATAATGTGTGGATGCACCCTGATGTGCTTCGCATTCTCCAACGCGCCTAGGCATGCTTCTGATCAGGTGGTCAATGTCCTCCTGTGGTATCTCATTCCAGGCAACCACCAACTCCTCTCGAAGTGCTTCTAGAGTCTGAGGAGGACGTTGCAAATTGAGCAATCTCCTACCCATCATATCCCACACGTGCTCAATTGGGGATAAGTCGGGAGATCTTGGTGGCCATGGTAACAATGTGACATCATTATGTTGAAAGAAGTCTATTGTGACTCTTGCAACATGTGGTCGGGCATTATCTTGTTGGAAAGTTGGATCTGCCAGGGTGTCAAGATAGGGTAAAAGATGGGGTTCTAGAACTTCGTGGATATAACGCTGCGCGTTCATGTTACCTTTGATGAAGATTAAAGGTGACCTGGAACCATAAGCTATAGCACCCCAAACCATAACTCCAACAGTATGATGAACATGTCTTTCAACAAAAAACTGTGGATTCCTCCTTTCACCACGTCGCCTTCTAACCCTGGCACGACCATCGTGCATGCCTAAACAAAATCGAGACTCGTCACTAAAGACAATACTGTTCCATTCCTGATCCCAGAGTGACCGTTGTCTGCACCACTCAAGGCGATTACGTCGGTGTTCTCGAGTTAAAGGGAGGACCCAGTGTGGCCGGTATGAAAACAAGCCAAAACTTCTCATTCGTCGGTAAACACTTCGCATGCCAATAGGTCTTCCGTGTTCTGCAAACCATTCATTTGCAATGGACCTGGTAGTGGAGAAACGGTCCCTTAAGGCCAATAATCTTAGACGGCGATCTACACGGTCTATTGTTCTACGGCGGCGTCCAGTGTCCCTTGCTCTTTGCATACGGCCTTCTCGAAGCCATGACTGACAACACCTAACCACAGCATCGTAACCGATCGTAAAGGATGTCAAGAACCAAAATCCGCCAACGTCGATTCTTTACTGCGGCTGAAATATTCATTTTTAGAGCGTTAGTGAATTAAATAAAAAGCAGTATAAAAACCGGAATGTCCAACTGATAAGGCTGAAAATTTTTTCACTTGTTATTTACAGTAAGATAAATACATTCACCAACTTTTATTAAAATAAAACCATTTAAACTGGGTGTTCGGATTTATATGTCACTTAGTATATTTATTTTCCTTTATTTATTGAAAACCATCATCATGGAAATCAAGCATCACTCAAATGTCATTGAAATCAAAATTTTATTCACACTATTATTGGGATCTTATCAATAGCTCTACGAATTTCTTTGCCTTTAGAATATTGTTATGTTTTTGTATAAGAATTGTTTCTCAGGATTTGTTTTTCGATTATTTGTTTCAATTCGTGTTGTACCAATAACTCATAGCACCATTTTACTTCACGCAATAGACGCATGACTGCTCCCGAAATAGCAGCGGACGGTTACTTGAAGCTTGACTTAAGGGATGTATAGCAGTATCGATACCACTCCTCAGGGCTACTAACAAAAAAAAGAGACTAAATTGGGGCAAACAGTATCAAAATTGGGCAGTTGCTGACTGAAAGAAGATCATCTGAAGCGACGAGAAGGCATTAGAATCTTACACCGTCGCTTCAGTCGACCACAGTGGAGGCTCTATAATGATTTGGGGCTGCTTTGGTGGTTCCACTCTGAGGGTTATTGTGAAAGTACAGGGAATACTGAATAAAAAAGGTTACAAAGCCTTCTACAAAATCATGTTGTGCTTTCTGGGACTCTTCTTATTGGTCCGGGGTTTGTCTTTCACCATGACAATGACCCGAAACACATTCAAGCTGTGTAAACAACAAAATATTCAGAAAGTCATGCAATGGTCTCCCCGTTCCCTGGATTTGAATCCGATAGAGTTGCTGTAGGATGAACTATACTACAACTATTTAAAACTATAATGACTCATACGCGTGATCAACACGTGATCAGAGCTCGATCCCGGCTTCCTTCCAGTACAGCCGTATAGCGTACGACATATGTCGTTTCTGTGGCTTTGCGGTGGTCAACAGCACAGACAGAGATGGAAATAATGGCTGATTGTTCTCCGCCGGTAGAACCAATAAAATCAAAGACGCGCCTCGACCGGCAGACTCATAGGCGTCGGCAACGCATTGGAACGTGTTTCGTTGAGCGATCGCATATTGTGTGTTTTTATAAGAGTTGTTGTGTGATTGTTATTGTTGTGGTTTCTGTGGTTACTGTTTTGGTTATACTTAACCATGGAGAGTACAAATGGCACGAGTGGAAGTACTGAAAGCCAGGGAACAAGTAGACGGCTTCGTAAAGCACTGAAGAGGGACGCGAAAGAAATCGTGCTCAACGTGTTCAATTATCTGAACAGAACTATGTCGCAGGGAAATGCACTCGCGCGTTCTGAAAGTATGACAGGCGTTCCAGAGTGGACCATTCGCAGGGTGGTGCATGAAAAGAAGAAAACTGGAGCTACTACTGATCCAAAGTTTAATTTGAAAGGACGAAAGGCCGTTAAATTGGATGACGATAGCAAAATGGCGTTAAGGCGAACCGTACATTCATTCTTCTTTAGGAATGAGATACCAACCCTCAAGGCTGTACATGCAGCGATCAAGGAAAATGAAATTATACCCCAAATGAGCGTCGAGGTAATGAGGAAATCCCTGCACGAAATTAATTTTCGTTACGAAACGCGTAATCGGAAGTCAGTATTGATAGAGAGACCTGAAATAGTCGCCTGGCGTCGAAAATACCTACGCGAAATGATTGAATATAGGCAACAAAGCAGAAAAATCTATTATTTGGACGAGACATGGGTAAATGCAGGTCACACAGTTAAAAAAAACCTGGATAGACAAAAACGCAGTGAGTAACCTACAAGCAAGCATTGAAGGTTTGTCAACAGGTCTTCGTGGACCGTCAGGGAAAGGTCAAAGATTGATCGTAACTCATATTGGTAGCGATAGTGGCTTTTTAGAATAGTGTGACTTGATTTTCGTCTCTAAGAAAGGAGGTGATTACCATGACGAAATGAATGCCAGCTGCTTCGAGAGCTGGTTTCAAGGGGTGCTTCAGCGAGTTGAGCCCAACTCTGTGATCGTCATGGATAATGCTTCCTACCATAGTCGTCGAGCCGAACGTGTACCGACTATGGGATCTCGAAAAAGTGACATGCAGCAATGGTTGCGCGAAAAAGGAATCCCGTTTGACGATTCATGTGTGAAAGCGGAATTGTATGAAAAAATTAAATAGCACAAGCCTGCGAACATTAGTTACGTGACTGATGAGATGGCCCGTCAATGTGGTGTCACTGTGCTGCGGTTACCGCCCTACTACTGTGAACTGAACCCAATAGAGCTCATCTGGGCTCAAGTGAAGGGTTATGTTGCGCGCCAAAACACAACCTTCAAATTACCAGACGTTGAGGTTTTACTTGAGACTTCCATACAGCTAGTAACGCCCGAAGCTTGGCAGAATGCTATCCGTCACGTTGTGAAGGAAGAAACAAAAATGTGGCAGCTTGACCACCACATCGACACCATCATAGAGCCAGTTATAGTCAATTTCAACGAGGAAAGCGATAGCGACAGTTTATTACTGTCAGATGTAAGTGGAAGCGACGATGAATAAAGGTAATTCCCAAATTTTTGACTTACAATATGTTTCAAACCACTCTTTATTAAGCATGTGACAAATCTAGTTCACCCATGTTAAACATTCATACCCCGCCTGTGAACAGCCGACTACTGGTAGTTAAGTGATGTTCACGTGAACATCGATGAGTCATTACAGTTTTAGATAGTTATAGTATAGTCAGAGAAGTACGGAAATGTAGTCCTATTTCTCAATAACACTTATGCAGAATATTACAACACGAATGGCGAAAAATAACTCCATGCACTTTGGAAAAATTAGTTGTGTGTTTACCAATCATTTGCCAGGCTGTAATTAAAAGTAAAGGAGGTCATATTGATCAGTCAAAAATATGATTGTTCTGATTATAAATAATTGTATGTTGTTAAGAACTAAGGAAATAAATGTACCCTACAGATATTGTAATGTTTTCTTTAATAACTTCCATCAGTTTCCTTGTTTTCTGGGTGTTCAAATACTTTTGAACGGTAATAATCGTGTGCCTGTATGTACACTAACACCAATAAAGTTTTGTATCATATTCCAAACCTGTCTAATTCTCTTGTCTGATCTGACATCAGGCCGCATGCGGATCGGTGTTCCTCTGATTCCGGATCTCGGCGTTCTGATTGATCCCAATGAGCTAGGAGTGCCATAGTTCAATGGTGAGCTCAAATCAATCTCTGAAATCAGCCCCATACCTGGACTGGTCGGGGCGATGCTGTGTGCTGGAGAAGCAGGGATTTCTCGCTCTCCATCCATCGCGCTTGCTGGTCGGCCCCATCTCAATGGAGTGTCTGAGGAAATAAATTTACATCATACAGATTTGTGATATTTGTAGTGAAAGTCACAATGGGGCACACCATTTTGTTAATTTTCAAGCATATTGTGCTTGAATCTTAATGGTTACTTCAATTTGAGTATATGTTCCAAATAAAGCATGGTATTTCACACAATTTGGATGAGTTATTTACGCAACTTGTCAGATTTTTTTTGGAGAAAAATTGAAATCCCAAATAGTGTCTATTCACTTGTATGATGGATTGCCAGATGCTGTGAAAATAATAAGCAGTATTAGTGAATTTAAGTTTTGAATAAAGGAATGTTTGCTTGGCTTGGAACCTTACTCATTACAAGATTATGTAAGCAACTACTGATGGCATTATACAACTGAATAACATAATCATCTATTGCTCATTGGAGGCAAATCTGGCTTTATATTATCACAGATTATTTTTATTTTTTAACCTTATGACTTTGGTGTAGTATACTTTGAAAAGTTTAGTGTATCATAAAGGGTTGTCCAATAGGGACGCAGGAAAGTAAACGTCAATTTGTCAAAAATAAAAAACACGTTTCGCGCGCTTCGTGAACATTTCGGTCGCAACAACCGCCCAAACGAAACAACCATCGGTCGTCTGGTGCGTAAATTCGAGGCAACAGGTTCTGTGGCAAATCTGCCAGGCTCTGGCCGGCCAAGGAGCGTTCGCACACCGGAAAATATTGCTGTTGTGAAGGAGAGTGTGAGAGACGATCCGAAACAATCAACAACGCGTCGATCCCAAGAATTGGGCATTTCGAGAACCAGTTTGCTCCGCATTCTCCACAAGGATTTGAATGTACACGCCTACAAGATCCAATTGACGCAAGAGCTGCGTCGGGCCGACCATTTTTCGCGCCGAACGTTCTCAGATTGGCTCCTTGAACACCGCCAAATTGATGCCAATTTTTCATCAAAAATCATGTTCAGCGACGAAGCGCATTTCACTTTGAATGGGACGGTAAACAAGCAAAATTGTCGCATCTGGGCGAACGAAAATCCCCGTGAGTATCAAGAGCAGCCGATGCATCCTCCAAAAGTGACTGTGTAGTGTGCATTGTGGTCAAAAGGCATCATCGGACCTTACTTTTTCGAAATTCGGCCGGGGACGCCGTTACCGTCAATTCTGAGCGATGATAGAGCTATTTTTTGCCGCAACTTGAAGGAATGGTTATGGACGATGTTTATTTCCAACAAGACGGTGCAACATGACTTGACATGATTTGACTCCCTTGGACTTCTTTTTATGGGGATATTTGAAAAGCAAAGTCTACGTCAACAAACCAGCCACCCTCCAAGAACTCAAAAACGACATCATTGCCGAGATAAATGCCATAGAACCGACCATGTTGCAAAATGTCATTGAAAATTTCGACCATCGCGTCTGTAAATCCAGTCGTGGTGAACATTTGAGCGATATTATTTTTCATATATAAATGGTATAAATGGACCTTCAAAATAAAGTACCCAACTTGATTTGAATATCAATCTTTCTTGTTTTAATATGCGTTTACTTTCCTGCTTCCGTTTTGGACAACCCCATAGATGGTGATGTAGCCAGCTATCTGCTTGTACAGTGCAATTCCCCTTCGCGGGCACCCCTCTTACACGGACACCTCCTTTAAACGGACAGTTTCTCACGGTCCCGACCGACTCTCATAATTTGCATTGTATTAGCTCTCTCTTGGACGGACACTCTCTTGAAGGGACGCGGACACGAGAAAATGTTCTCCTATTGCATTTCTCAATCGTGGCGCGGCCATCTTCGTTGAGACTTTCTCGAGTAAACCAGGGATTCACTGACTTTAATCTTTGGCTATAAACGCAGCCTATGTGCATTTCTGCCCGGGACTTCCCCGAGTTGGTCGGGGATTTACTGTTCTTTCTTTGAATACACGCTTTTGATTAAATTTCCATTTCCACGACCGGTTAAATGATGATGATACATCTCACCCAGAAGATGACTCACCACTTAATGTACTATCAGATATCCTCAAAAATAAGAATTTATTGAAATTGATTTATAGTGAAAACCTTTATGATTTTTTGAACCTACATGAAAGTTTGTATGTTGAAGATCCTGATTCAGACCAAGAAATTGAAAATCCAGTTGCGATACAAGAATTTTCAGGAGATTCTGGTAATGATGAGGTTCCAGTACCAACAGATATTCCAAATTATGGTAAACCTATTACCCTGACCAAGCAGCTCAAAAGTTTTGTTGAAAATCAAGGAGATACAGAGTCTTTAAAGCTTTTTTCTAAATCAGAAATACGATTTCAAGATGCCACTTTAAAGAAAAAGATGACAACATATGAATGTTTGCATCCTTAAGGTGACTATTTATTTTACTGTTTTGTGTTACTACATTATATGTATTACATACATATATTATGCACATGTATGTATACTTTATCTGAAGTCACTTGAAACACTGTGAAATACCGGGTGCGTTTTATATATCTATATTCAACACGCTCTGTTGCTGCAAAAATCGCCAAATTTCGCAGCAAATATCCCCCGTATAAGATCAAAGGCAGTTTCACCGGTCCACGTGGAGTAAAGCACGCCTATGCGTGGACATAGCCAATGAGAAAGCGTGTATTTCAGAGCTCCGAACAAGTGCAGGTGGCTACTGAAAATTGAAACAGTTTAGCCAGTGCCGTGTAGCGGTGAATAAACGTGTTTTCTTTAGTCTGTCCGTGTTTTTTCATAGATTTTATTAGTTTGTGTGTTTTTGACTTTTGAATATTCAGTTTACTTGTTGATTTAATCGTTGTGTTGATTGTTCTTGTGTGTCCTAAATATGGCTCTTTGGAGACCTTGGGAAAATGCTCCAAGCCACGAGGAGATGGTTGATGAACCTGTGCAGGCAGAATTCTTTCATAAAGATTTAGAGGAACAGACCCAAAGAGTAATCCTAAATATGTATGATTGTCTGAAAAACGAAAATCCAGATTCCTCGCAAAATCAAATTTTAAACAGAATTTGTATCCTGACAAAAATCAGTCGGTCTACCATTTATCGGGTTATAAAAAGGGGAGATGTAGTCAACCATTCCTTCCACAGAAAGCACATAGGGCAAAAATTAAAAAGAATAGACGTGGGTTTGCAGGAAGATATTCGTCGTATAATATACGGATTTTATAAAGAAAATTTGGTGCCCACGTTGGAAATGATACGGGATAAATTAAAAGATTATCCTGAAGATTTTTATAATTACAAATGCTTAGACTCACTGCACTGTATTGTAAAACTGTGTGGTTTTCAATACAAAAAATTAGATAAAAGAATGGTGATTATGGAGTCGTCTCGAATCGTTGAATTGCGCCAAGAATTTTTGCACAAAGTTAAAATCTAAAGAGAGCAGAAAAGAAATCTGATTTACCTGGATGAAACGTGGTATGATACCCATGATGTTGTGCAGTACGGCTGGGTTGACGACAGCAACAAGTGCATTTTAAATGCACCATGCAACCGTGGAAAACGAATCATTATTCTCCATGCTGGCAGTGAAAATGGATTTATACCTAATGCCTTGCTGTTATCTGCCAAAAATATCAAAGAATCATGTGCCGACTATCATGAGGACATGACCTCCGACTTATTTGAAAAGTGGATAGAGCAGCAGTTAATACCAAACATTTCCCCAAATTCAGTGATTATTATGGACAATGCGCCATACCATTCCCGACAGAAAAACAAAATTCCGAATACAGGCACAAAAAAAACAAGACATTATTGATTTTATGAACGATAAGGGAATGGAAATACCACAAAAATCAACCAAAGCCATATTATTGGATCTTATTAAAAGACAAAAATTTGAAAAAGAGTATGTTGTTGACAATCTGCTTCAGCAAAATGGCCATGAAGTATTACGTCTACCTCCCTATTACTGCATTTTTAACCCGATTGAGTTGGTCTGGGCTGCTTTAAAAAAAAAGTAAGAAAACATAATCAGACCCCTCAATTAAGTGAATCGCTATTGGCCACAATAAGAGATGCAGTATCTCATATTGCTGCCACAGACCTATGGAAGCAGTGTTCTAGGCATATTATTGAAAAAGAAAATGAATATTGTGTTTTGCCTCCTGTAAATCCCGTTGTAATTCCTCTACAAGATGACTCTAGCGACAGCTCCGAAGGCGAGGATGATATATAAATACCTATAATGTAAGTCTTTATATACCTTTTTATATACCTACCTGCTATGTAAATATTTGCCTATGTCAAACGTTGGAATTCTGTAATTTTTCCATTTCTTAACTTTCAGTCAACATAAATTAAACTCCCAATATAAGTATTTTTTATCCCAAATCAAAAAAATAAGAAGATAGTAAAATCCATTTATTGTGATATAAAAACATTATTATTATCGTTCTAAATAAATGACCGCACGCCTATGATACGTCATGAAATTACAAAGGACGCGCCGACCAAAGGTTTTTATGCTATTTCAAGTGACTTCAGATAAAGTATACATACTTTGTATATACAGTAATGGACAAAAGTATATAGACAAATTAATATTGTGCTGTATTTCTTTTTTAACTTGTTTTATTGATACACCAACCAGTATACATAATTCGTTATAGCGTAATACTCACTTATACATAAATAAATTCATTAGACTCCCTCCAATAAAAAAGTAATTGAAAAAACTGGAACTATAAAGGACAAAAATATTTAGACAAAGCAAAACAATTATCGAAAAAAGAAGCAAAGTTCATTGAATTATAGAAAACCAACCATATTTGTGTTAATATTTTGTAGCATAACCATTATTATCAATCACCGCCTGGCATCGTCTCGGCATAGATTGTAGAAGTTTCTTGATATAAGATTCATCAATCTGTATATACTTGTTTGAATAATTTGCTTATCTAAGTATTCCCATAGATTTTCAATGGGGTTTATATCAGGAGACTGTGAAGGCCATTTGAGAACTGGTATTTTTTTCATCCATAAAGAATTTCTTTGAGAGATTTGAAGTGTGCTTCAGGTCATTATCTTGCTGGAAGACTGGTCTTAAGGGCATATTGTCTTCCATATAGGGTAAAATGACATGCTTTAGTATGTCTGTGTATACAAACTTATACATAATGTCATCTATTCTATGTAAAGGTCCCATGCCAAACCCCGAAAAGCACCCCCAAACCATAACAGACCCGCCTCCATGTTTGACACTAGGTCGTCTAACATAATGAACACCATCTGATCCAAACTTATTGAACTTGGATTTGTCGCTGATGCTCCAATCAAGATGCAACCGTGCAAATTGTAATCTTCTACTTATAGTTTTCGTAGAGACACTGACAATTCCTTTTGTCTCCATTTCGGCTTTTATTTGTCTTGGGCTTTTAAACAGATCTTTGGATGAAATTACTTTTATTAATCTAACTGATCTAGTATTTAGTTTTCTAGGCCGACCACTTCTCTTAGAGGCTTCCAAGATACCTTTTCGGTTATGTTTGTTCAATATTACCCAAACTGCTTTACGCTTCAGCTTCAAATTTTTGGCAATATTGACTTGATCTTGACAATCTTTGTGTAACTCAATGATCTTAGTTGTCACATCGAAAGAAATTTATGGACCATGCGGCATGGTCTTAAAATCACTCAACTTATTCCACAAACTAATCCTCTTCTGACACGAAACTGTACTAAACTAATGTTGAAAAGAATTTGTCTACATATTTCTGTCCCTCATAAAAAAGTGCTTATATTCAGACTTGTATTGCGTTCATTGCAAATGATGTAAAAACCAAAGGATTTAGTTTTTATACTAGTAACGCATTTGTTTATGGAGCAATGAAGTATGAATTCGTTTTCTAAAGGTATTTAGGTAAATATTCATATTTGTCTATATACTTTTGTCCATTACTGTATCTAAAGGTAACAAACCTTTTTTTCCTTAAATTTAAAGTTTTTTGTTTATTTTAAAAACGTGTATATATGTTACCGGTAATCTGTACAATTCAGGTATTCTTGGTCTAAATTTATCAATGTTAACAGGCATACCAATAAAATGACGGGCAAATGAAACAAGTTATTTATTTATTACAGATATCAGAACTTAGGAAAATTGTGAATGATCTGAAAAACAAAAAAAGTAGCACTGATGGAATAAACACAAAGATATTGAAGCTCTCATTTGAAGCCATTGGCAATCGTTTCTTGGATGTAATAAACCAAAGCTTACAAACTGGGTCATTTCCAAGTGAATGGAAAATGTCAACTATTATTCCCATAGAAAAAGTTAGTGGAACTATTCAGTGTGAAGAACATAGACCAATTAATATGGTACCAGCATATGAAAAACTTCTAGAAACGGCAGTTAATATCCAGGTTCGAGATTATGTGAGTGCAAGAAATATTATTACAAACTGTCAAGCAGGTTTCCGAAGTGGTCACTCATGTGAAAGTGCTCTACAGTCAGTGATATCTAACTGGAAATCTTCATTAGACAACAAAAAAATGGTGGGTGTGGTTTTCTTGGACTTCCGCAGAGCATTTGAAACTGTTAACAGAGAATTACTAACTGGGAAGTTACAAAAGTATGGCTTTCAAGGTAAAGTCCTAGGTTGGTTTTCACAATACTTGAGATCTCAAAAAACCAAATATTTAGAATCATTATCTGAATCTAAGATCAATGTACATGGTGTTCCACCGGGTACTGTGCTGGGCCCAGAATTGTTTTTGTTGTACATAAATGACATTGTTAATATAGTTAAGAAGTGTGAAATTCAACTCTTTGTAGATGACACTATGTTTTTTGTCAAGGGTGATTCAGTGGATGACATAATAAACTTTTTAAATGAAGATTTAAATAATATATATAAATGGTTAAACAATAATAGTTTAAGTGTGAATGTAAATAAAACTAAATGTATGATATTGAAATCTAAGCATAATGTAACTAACACATACAATAATATAGTAATTAATGGTAGTAGACTAGATCAAGTTGATGAATGTAAATATTTAGGAATAATTATAGATGAAAATTTAACGTTTTCAAAACATGCAATTTATATAACCAAAAAGCTATCAAAGAAAGTGAATTTATTATGTAGAATGGGGAAAGACCCGAGTGTCTGGGCTAAATTAATTATATATAAGACGATAATCCTACCACATTTCAGTTACTGTGCAACAATCTTGTATATGTTTAAGAAAGGTGATATTGATATTATTAAAAAAAAACAAAACCAGGCATTGAGAAGTATTTTGGGATGGGGAAAATACGGTAGAATTAAAGACATGCTGACATATAGGAGATCTTTTATAACACTATGGTGGTAGTATACAAAATAAGGAATAGAATGTACCCAGAGCATATTATTAATAAATTAAAAATGGTCAGCAATATACATAGTTATAATGTTAGATCTAATTCCAACTTTTATGTGTCTCGGGTACAATCTTCCTTTGCCCAAAACAGCTTATTTTATAAGGGCCTTGTAGATTTTAATAGGATTCCAGAAGAAATTAAAACTACAAATTTTGTTAACTTCAAAAGGCATTTAAAAAAATATGTAATAGAAAATTGTAGTTTATATCCAAATGTTTTCTCTGTACGCACATTGCTATGAAATAAAGATCATCATCATCATCATCATTTAAACTTTATTAAAATTAACAACTAGAGTGCTTCTTAAAAATAAGCTTTATGAAAAGGGTACAAGAAAAGCACCTCTCTGTTACTACAGTAAACTTGATGTGAAACTAAAAATTATTCTGGTTATAAGTAACATAATTTTCTTTGCTTACAAGGACACATTCAGTTTATTGCCTGCCTGCAGGTATGTACAATCCATTCCTTGCTCTCCCCTTTTACATACATTACCGGCTGCATATTTGGTATTGTATAGAATACCTAGGCAAAGTATAAAACATAATATTTTATACATTACCTACATGGTTTAGGTATTCTATGCATTACCTTGGTATTGTATAGAATACTGGACTATCCATTCAGTTTCCATTTATTACTACTTTATGTCTTGAGCAGTTGAAAAGCACATATGTACTAAACTTTGAGATTTTATTACTACTTGACATTATTTTAACACATGACTAGACTACTAGACAACTATAGAACTAGACAGTACATTGTTTTAAAAAGTGGTTTTTTCTTTTGCTTGAACCAACATAGATAAGAAACTGCATTGTCTCGAAATTTTACGACTTACTTAAGTTGTATACATAAACATAAATTCTATTCAGTTAAACTTACCCACAGAAGACACTACACTCTTTGAGGAAGGAGTTGCAGCAGTTCTTCTAGGTGTTCTACCAGAACTTCTGCTAGAAGCGGTACTTTTGGCAGGCGAAGCGGCTGCCCTTGTGGGTGTTCTTGATGGGGTCTTCGAGCCGCTGGGAGCAGGGGAAGGCTGCTCTCTGGCGGGAGTACGTAAACCTGCTGGTCGCCCTCGAGGTGATCTTTCGGCATCTTGAGATGGAGAAGACATTTTGACGGTTTTTAGGTTTTATTTCTTGAATTTTCAATACACCACACACATTCACTACAATCTTATAAAAAGCGCGCCAAAATGCAGACAAACGATTTGAGGTTATTGTGGTTATGTTTGTGTCACTTTGACGCGCTTTTGACATTGCGCGGGAAGAGCTGCCGTCACAAAACATATACACTGAAGAGCACAAAACATATAGGCAAGTGTTTTCCATAGGGCAACACTTTTGACTTATGTCAATGTTAAACCGCCATTTTTTGTTGCGACATGGCTGCCAGAATGTGCATGAAACCACTCGCGACATAGCCAGCTCTTTGCATACACCTTGGGAAAAACCATTATTATACATTATGATGAGGAAGAGAGATGGAAATATACAAAAGTATGTAGGTGCGTGAAAGACACTCGATTGTAGGATCTTATCTGGCAGCGTCGAAGTGTGACGGACAACGGGGTAAAGTAGAAGAGTGATAAAAGAGAGAGATGGCAGAACGGGCGCTGGCGCCTACCGCTTAGACGGATGCGCTCAACAAATGCGATTTGTTTCTCCCATTCGCAGAGTTGCCGATACCAATATGTCATATTTCTAAGAAATCTAAGTCTACCCAAATTTCGGGAAAAATAGCTGCGGATTCTACATAAGAGTATTCCAAAAGTGAAAAAAGTTCAAACTATTAAAATTGTATTAATGTTTCATGGTTCAAATCATATTTTTCATGTTTGTATATTGTTGTATAAATGATTTTGTAATCCCTATTCTTGTTGCCAGTAGAGATACAACAGTATTGAGAGAAATCATGGACCGCTAGATAGGGCTACAACTACCATATGACTATCAAATATTAGTGATAAACAGGGTTTGTTTATAGCACAGTTGCCTGGTGTGGCGAATTTGCGCCATAGGGGCGATTTGACAACTTTGAAGGACAACTATAACGGTTACTATGGTGCCCGGTATTCGGGAATCTGGCAATACCTGATGATTCCTAACGTTTATTACGCCAGATTGTTTGCTGACTTGCGCAGTACAACATGACAATCAACGTGACTGAGCACCTGGTAACCCTGGTTTAAGGTGTTATATTTAAAGAGCTTGGGGCAGTTAGGTATCTAGGTCACATTTTTTAATGTATTTCGAGAAATCCGTAAATACTAGATCACGTTTCTTGCTTAGTTTGCTGAAAATTCTACAATAGACGTACATTTTGAGAAACAGAGATTTGGTGACGACAAAATCGTAAAAATATAACGCATTTTCGTAAAATAATTTCTTTGTTGAAAAGACTGTGGCTTGATGACCCATTGAACGAGTATAGTGTCCCGCTCCGCTTTCAATATTCGAAACACTATACTCCAGCAGCATTCAGCTTCAATGTTATCTTTATGAAGTTCTAACGTCTAGGCCATGCTGATTAAAAGCTTGAATGAATCAACACTTAACTCTAAATTCCCCACAATTCGGGAAGCTCTACTCAAATTGGCAACACAGCGTATCTGCCTATTATTCTCCTTCGTGATACAGGTCTGCGGTTAACGGAAGGAAATATGTACGAATAGCGATGAAAGTAGACGAGCCGATGCGCTGTTGCCAAGAAATGATTTCCCATGTATAACAATGGTTTTTCCTAAGGTGTATATCTAAGACTGATGTAATCGCACAATATATACACGGTTGTAATTTAGTTGATTATTGCAGAACTTGAAGCCGAAAATGATGGCATACCTACTTTTTATAAGTCTAACCTAATCAAATTATATTTAAGATTATACAACGCTACATAATGTCAACGTGTTCGGAAAAATTTAAACTTAAAGTACTGTTGTTTGATGTAAACTTTAAGTTAACCTACTGAGTTGATGATGATGATGAAAGGTATTGTATATGGTGTATGCATGTATAGTTACTCATCAGGGTAGGCCGGGGGCCTTTTGCCCAAAAATTACTGAGGTTCTAACTGGCAGAAAACCGAATCTCTTTAACAAAAAATGTCAAAGATAGATTATACGGATATGAAAATTTTATGAAAAAGCAGTCAATCTAAAGAAATAAAGAACAAATCATAGTTTTAGATGATTAGATTGTTAAAGGAGTGCTGATCTAGGTCTTTTGTGTTTGTGAATGGATACTGGATCATATGTCACCGCAACTCTTATTAAAGGATTTGAATGTGAAGTTGCACGATCGTAACTTTTGCTTGCAATTTGCTTAATGAATTGAGGCAAGAAAGGAATATCCTGGTTATGGTGAATGGTTGTGTTGAGTACATACGAAAAAGCATGCATTATTGTTCGTTGAATTTTGTTTTGTATCACTTGCAATTTTGTAATTTTCCTCCTTCCAGCAAAGTACGAAGCTGCATATGCGTAGGTCATAGTTTTGTTTAATACAAGTTTATTAGTTGAGCTCAGTTTTGTAGTACCCTTGAGCATGGGGTATAAATTACGAAATATCATCATAGCCTTTGTTCTAATCGATTCGACATGAGATTTCCCAGTTAGACTTGCGTCGATTGTTAGTCCTAAATATTTTGCTTGATATGCACATGGCATTCTTTGGTTACAAATAATTAGTTCGGCTGGTAATGATTGTCATCTTTTAGTGACTAAATTTGCCTGAGATTTCCCAGCGTTCAATCTAATTCTTCAACGGAGACACCAACCTATTCATCAATGCTGTGTCATCAGCATACTATGTTCGTGTGAGGTATTTGAGGAATATTCGCAGTGTATACAGGGTGTTTCAGTTTATTGTTGCATAACTTTAAGATCCGATAGAACTTTTAAAATTAACGCATAAAGTCTATATAAACATGGGTCGAAAAATGCGTGGCTTCCGAAATACAGGGTGTTTAAATTTACTTTCTAAAATAGTTTTTTTTAAATATTTCGAACAATATTTGATGTATAACAGTGGAAATTGGTATACAAGGGTTTTTTGGTACAACAAAACGAACCATGGGCATAGTTTTACTGTAGCCGCTAGAGGGCGCTCTCTACTGTACCTGTAGTGTATTAAAATGACCGAACAATTTTTCTTAGTGCAATTTTTTGCTTTTTGAATAAAAAAACTGATTCTTCGCACTTTTCAACATAAAAAAGCTCTCTTGTGAATTTTCGTTATATTTAGCCGTTTTTCAGATATTTCGATTTTTAAGGTTCGATGCATTTTTAATTATTTATGAGAAAATAATATTTTTTTTACATTTTCGATTTGGGCATTACAAATAATTAAGATGATCGTTTAGATTGTGTTTTTAAACACAGCAATAATTCCTAACTCCAAATAAACACAAAAAACAGAATATTAATTTGTTTAATTTTCCAATATTATTTTTAACAAATTAAATTAATTATTTACAACTAAAATGCTATTGGATAGTTAGGACAAACATACAAAATGTAAAGTAGTTGCTCGAAATGAAAAAACCCAATTGTTCAATACACAATTCACATCTACGAATGATCGAACGTGGTATAGCATTATTCAAATAAGGCCTTATTTCATCACATGCATTCCTGATTCTGTCTATTAGCATATCTCTTGTGGTTACGGGAGTACACTTTTTCTTTTAGAAATCCCCACACAAAGAAATCTAATGGATTTAGGTCAGGGGATCGTGGAGGCCAGGCGACTGGTCCTCCACGGCCGATCCATCTTTCTGGATAATTTTCGTCCAGCCAGATTCTAACTATTCTCGAATAATGAGCTGGACAACCATCAAGCTGGAAACAGGCCAATCTTCTTAAATCTAACATAACATCATCCCACATATTTGCATGTTCAGCCTTTAAAAATTCCAAGAAGGTCGCAGCATTTAACCTTGCAGGCAAAAGGTAGGGTCCAAATAGTCGATTACGGTAGGTACCCATCCACACGTTCACACGAAATTCATGCTGAAAATTTCTTTCCCGAACTGCATACGGATTTTCATGCGACCAAATTTTCCTATTTTCACTGATATACATCAAATATTGTTCGAAATATTTTAAAAAAACTATTTTAGAAAGTAAATTTAAACACCCTGTATTTCGGAAGCCACGATTTTCGACCCATGTTTATATAGACTTTATGCATTAATTTTAAAAGTTCTATCGAATCTTAAAGTAATTTAAGATTTTTTGTTATATCCTTACCATATTTTAAGAGTACAGATATTACTTCCCATGGCGTGTGACCTTTTGTCAGTGGCATCTTAAAAAAAATACACAAAATCCGCAATTTGAATCAATGATTCTGTTCACGGACGTATCTAATGGTTCTCGAAATGCCATTCAGAATTTACACAACAATCATTTGTGGGCAGAAGAAAATCCCTATGCCGTAACCGAAAAACCCATTTCCAACACCAATTTTCGGTCAACGTAGGGGCAGGAATTATTGGCAACTACTTTATTGGGTCATTATTTTTGCCGGGACAACTTGACGGACAGACTTACCTCAACAGTTGCCTTTGCTTCGTGATGATGTTCCGTTAGTAATAAGAAACAATATGTGGTACATGCATCATTGTGCACCAGTGTAGCGGTTCGTAATTATTTACAAACTGTTTATCCAAATCGTTGGATTGGCCGCGGTGGGCCCCAAGAATGGCCACCAAGCTCCACATACCTCAACAGTTTAGATTTCTTTTTGGGGGGCTATCTTAAGATACTAGTGTGCACAAGTCCCATTAACATTGTAGAGGAACTAAGAGAAAGAATGGTTGCAGCTTGTGATAGAATAAAAAACACTCCAGGGTGCGCAATTCCATGAGGAGGGCGGAAGCATGCATACTAAGTAAATGGGGCCATTCTCAACAATTTAAGTAACCATTTCGTTGGCTTTGATGTTATGTTTATGTTGTCAGTTGTTGTTGTTCATTACCCCTGATGTGTTTAATTTTTCCAATTAAATTAGTAATAATTTTGCATGTTATAGTTAGAACAGTTTTTATTTTTTTACTCAAAAATGACGCATCGAAAGAAAACAATTCGAGAGAGATAATTTGTTTTAAATTGAACGGGAAATTAAAAAATAATTTTATATTTGGCGTACCATTGTTTTTTAAATATCGTAATCAATACCCGTACGCGCGCCACTGTTAAGGCTAAAAATTATTTTTGCATTGAAAAATATGCAACTTTATTAACTTTCACTACGTGCTAATCATTAGCGAAATATCTGAAGCGGTTCTGAAAATATTAATTAATATCCATTTTTTTCCTAAAACTTCAACATTTTTGGACCATAATTTATAAAGCAAACTAACATTAGTAGTAGATTCACTCCCTTGA